AAATGTTAAAATACTAACAACGCATCCTTTTTATTTTTTTTTGTTTTCTTTTTATTTTTATATAACAGTTATTATAACTGCTGTTTGATTGCGTCATTAAGGACATGTTCCAAAAAATTATTTCTATTTTTTTTTTGCTATTTTTTATTCTAGAACATTACAAAATGACATAAAAAATGAAAATTGTAGAAAAAAATTACAAAAAGAAAAATTGTAAAAAACCTAAAATATATTTTTAAATTATGCTAATATAACCGTAAAAAAATAAAGAATAAAATTGTTTTTTTTGAAAAGGATATTTTTTATATACATATATACATACATATTTTGTATATATATAGCGTATATTGTTGTATTCTTAATTTCCAGCAAGAAAAATTCGTATAATAATAGTAATAATATGGGCATTTAAAAAGACTGTAATTGAAGTTGAACAGAATTAAAAAAACAAAAAAAAAAAAATTTATAAAGTAGGAAAATTTGTTATTCTTCCAAATTTTATAAAAATACGTTCTTGTGTTTTGACATAAAGAAGAGTCTTTGGTAAAGCTTAATATTTCAGAATATTTCCTAACTTTTCTTAATTGCAAAGAAATTTATTTAAACTACAATGTAGAACAAAATTCTAGCCCAAATTACTAATTTCTGTACTAAAATTAATTTCGAAGGCTATTGAAGAATAGTAGCGCAGCAGTGAATTTTATTTAGCAAATTTAGAAAACTTGGTTTTTTCAAACTACTTTGGGTTATTTGGAATTTTTCTTGAAAATTTTAATTTTTTTTTTTCAAATACTTTTGAATTTTCATAAGAATTAGAAACAAATAAGTATCTATTTTTGTTCAGTTCTCTTTAATTGTATAACAAATATTCGAGTTTTTTATTCTGATAAACAATAAAAGTAACAAAATGGACGAATGTCTACTTAATACTTAGATATTTCAGAATAATGGAAATTGATATATTATTATTGCTGGGAGGTTTCTGTTATTACCAGCAACCTTTTTGAAAGTGAAGTACATTTTGCATTAATTTGAGTCAAAGTTCTTTTTAAAATACATAATTGAAATTGACATCGAGTGTAATTTGAATAGTTGGCCATTTTTTAGTGCTAAAAATATTACTTTAGATTAATGAATTTACTTAAATTTATATTAATTACTGTATACTGACTTGGAAATTAAAATTGAAGAACGATGTATGCTTGTATCATACCCAGAAAAGGGCTAATTGTATTGTAAGATTTTCATTAATTAGCGCCCAATTCCGGTTTGAAGTAAGGTCTCCAAAATCAATTTATCTAATAATTTTAATGGTTGTTAACATTTTCCAAAATATAATATAAGAAAAGTGAGCTTTTTCAAGGCATATTGTGATTATTTATTTGTGTTTTGATCGGGAAAACGCTAAATTTGTCTCATGTGCTAAGATTAAAATTCACTTATACCTTCACATATTTACAAATGTCAATATTTCCTACAGTTCTTAAATAAAAACTCTTATTCAATATTTTAATATTAAATATTTTTTTAAATTTTTCAATTTGACTTTCAAGAAAAATTCAATCTCAATTCTATCAAAAAATTTTCGTACATTTTACCTAGCATTCCTTAAATATTTTTTCAACTATAAATTTTTCAAAAAATTCTATTGTATTAAATTTCAAAAAATTTATATTATTTGGTAATCATTTTCATTACAGAAAACGAAAAAAAAATTAAGAGAAAATACGAGTAAGAGAAGACTTTCATTTCATTAAAAATGAAAAACCTTTTCATTTTCATCCCTTGTTTTTTCAAGAGTAATTTGCTAATAACAATTTCTTTTTAAGTACAAAAGATAACTGTACACAAAATTATGAACAGTTACACAAAGAGTATATTATTTATAAAATATATTTACATATAAAACGAGTTAAAAAAAAAAAAAACGAGGGAAGAAAAATAAATGAGAGAAAAAAAAAAACGAAAAATACTCATAGAGTAATTAAAAATGAATTTTATTTTCCGTAATTTTGAAAATAAAAAAATGTTAAAAATTTTCTTCTATTTCTTTAAGAGAAAATTAGGAGATCATTAAAAAGCAACAAAATGAGAACATGAAACAAAAACGAAAAAAAAAAAATATTTGAGCAGAATTCATCTTTTGACCATTACCGTTATTTAATAATATTATTACTGTTAATTTTTTATTTTTTTTGAAAAATTCTCAACTATTTTCAACATTGTTTTAATGTTAATGATAAAAATTCTTTTGTTAAATAATTTTAATATTATTATTATTTTTTATTTTTGTGAAATTTTTTTATTATTTACAATTTCAATTTCTTCTCTATAGTTTTAATAATACTAGTTACAAATTGTATTATTCTTTGTTAAAATAAAAAATAAATATTAATTTTACATGCATATTTCATCTACTCAAGCTTCTTCTTCAATAAATGAACCATAAATTCAGTGAAAATTAAAAAATTTCCATAAAAATGTTATTAATGTAAGTTTTAAAGGATTTAATATGAAATTAAGACTTTGTTATATAAAATTAGAAAATATTGTAAAAATTTCTGTTTCAAATTGCTTCAGTTCATTAATAGTTTTCTGAAATTAAAGCTGTACTTTTTGTTGGTTCTTAAGATGTTAGTCCTAAAAATAATAGCAAAACAAATCTTATTGAAATTTTGTTCAGATTTTCTCGTTATTGTAATACGCCATTGTATACCCCTTAAGATTAGGATAAATTTTTTGTATGTTTTGCGACTTAATTTAAATCTCGACCGAGACATTGTATTGCATTTAAAATTTAAAGTATATAACTCTGTTCCTGTGCCAGATTGGCGCATTATATGGATAGGCGCATGGCAATAAATATGGTTTCTTATAAATATCTGAATTAGTTATAATCTGTTCAAATTTCGGAATCACATTACTTTAAAGTTCAAAAATTTTGAATTTTTAACTTTTCATTTTTAAAAACCGTTAAATTTTTTAGGTCACTTAACATTGCAGCTTTCTTTAATTTTAGCACAGCTGCAAAACTTTTTTAAGTTAACTTTAATTTGGTTTGTGAGTCGTCTTCCTTCCTGTTATTGTTTAGAAGCTATTGAGAGAAACACTTGGATTACAGCAAGTGTTTTTTTATATCAAATTTTTGACTTAAAATATTGTACAGCAACTGTTCAAAATGATCACTATCTGTTTTATTACCAAATAATTTCTTTTATTTTGCAAACTAGAGAGATAACAACATCTACTAGTGTACATACAGTTATTTTGTAAGCAAATGTTTCTTAAAAATTTACGAATCTATACAAATATTATATGTAATTTCTTTGAATTTCTCTGGAAAAAATATGGAAAATTTAATTGAAAAACCAATAAAATAAAATTTCTAATTGAATTTCTGAATAAATTGCTGCTAGATTTTGAAACTAAAGGATTGAAATTTAAAAAACTTTTATTTTTACAATTCTTACTTTACTGATTTTACTTTTAATACAAGCAAATACATAATTATAGAACATAACTCCATGTATAAGAAAACCTTAACAAAATTCAAAATATTCTCAGTAAAAATAATTTTAAAAGGATTTTTTTAAGGATTAATTTCTAAATTAAAATTTTCACAAATTTTAAAAATTTAGTTTCGTTTGTGTTCTTGTAATTCAAATTCAAAAGTTTTTAATTTAAAATTTTACACAAATAAGCTGTTGCCATAAAATTTTACACTTTCTTTTAAATTGTAAATATTTATAGTTCGACACGTGGAATAATAATTTTAATTATAATAATATAATTATAAAATGTCACGATTTATATAATCTTTACAACACTAGTTAATAATATTGTATGCTTACTTAATATTGTTTTGAGTATAAATATTATGTAAACCCATAATAAACTTATTATAGAATAAGCATGTATAAAATTCTAAAAGCATCACACATATTAGCAATAGTTGTTTTTCAAAATGTTCAAATAAAAACCGTGAAAAGTAAATTCAGATTCCGAAGGTACGGTAAATAATTGTCAATTTCGCTGTCAAATCATCGCATTTTAAATTTCGATCCACTCTATATAGAGAGAGATTTTTACTTAGTTACTTATTTTGTAAAATTAAAAAAAAAAAATAGAAAATTATGTTAAACTTTCGAAAAATTGATTTTTTTTTAATTGAATTATTTTATTTGAAAGGTGGGAGTGCTTACAGTTAAAGTCAGGATAGATAAATTATTCTTAATTTTGAAAACAAATATATGTACGGATTGAAATATGTATATGTACGTAAAATCAAAATTTGAATGCTCCCTTCCAAAATATACACAACATAATAATAAGAGTATCGCATTTTCATTTTCTCCAAACGTGTTCTTAAATACGGACTGTTAATTTATATTTTCGAATTAAATAACGAGCCCAAAGAAAAGTGTGTGCTTAACATTTATTTTGTGAAAATAATTTTATTTTTATTGGAGAGGGGATGTGCTCTCTATGCATTCGTGTTTAAGCCGGACTTATTTATTTTTTACTGACGTATTTTTCAATTCGAAATTATTTGAATTAAAAAAAAAATTTTCTGATTTTTGTTGAAATTTATTGAGAATTAAAAATTTATGATCAATTTGTCTGTGAAATTTTGTGACATTCAAAAAAATTATATTAGTAAAAAAAAATTCGTTGGTATTAAAAAATATTTTTAAAAATTTATACTGGGAAGCTACTATTAAAATATATGAAGGTCACAAAACTTAAATAAACGCAAAAATACCATAAAAAGAAAAAAAAATTTACAGTAATAATAAAATCAATGTTTACAGCATTTGTTACAGTTTAAAGGTTAAAATACAGACTTTATTTACAAAAAATTGAAAAAGCAACAAGAAAAAAAATTCTCTTTATGAAATTATTCTAGAAAATTTTTGTGATTCATTTAATAAAATTTCTTTGTAATCAATTTTAAATATTAAAATTATTTTTCTTCCTTCATTTTTTTTTTTTTTTTGCAGTTTAATATCGTTATAATTGATCATCCGGATGTTTTAGCTGAAACAAAGAAAGCATTAAATTTAACAGCAACCGAAACAATATTACAACGTTTACCATTGTGTGTGGAGATTTCATTGAAAACAGTTGAGGGTGATGCAATGATATTAGAAGTATGGTCACTTGGATTAGTATCTGAACAAATTGAACCAATGTTAAAAGCATCACAAGCAATTTATAATCGTATGGGAATTTTATTAAAATCATTAATATCAATAACAAGAGCAACACCTGCATATAAATTATCAAGACGTCAGAGTCCAGATTCATATAGTATTTATTATAGAGTATATGTTGATGAACCACAAATACATAATTTAGGTGAGTTTTTTAAAAAATTTCTATTTTATAATTTACATACATATGTATATCTGCATATAGAATTTATAATGTCATATTATACAAACTTCACTTAAAATATCGAATATTTCTTTGTGTCATACACGCACAATTTTATTTCCTTATTGGTAAATAAATTTAAATTCAGTTTTATTCTTAAAAGATTCATATTTTCAAGCATTTTGTTTGAAATAACAGCTATTTGATCTAATAAAATTCATACTGAACTGTAATTTATTGTATAACACTTAATACCCTCTGTAGTGCTTTCAGTACCATCGCTACATGTTTTCTATTCAACAAAGTTTTCAAAATGTGCTTTGAGTACGATTGCGTAGATGAAAAATCGCCACATTTTTTCGTATATACAATTGCTATTGTATTGAATGTCACTATATGTGAGCAGAATGACATGCCATTATTCGGAAGAATTCGTAAATTTCATTTCGGTCAACTTACAAAATTTTAAATGAATTGTTGATAAACAAAAAAAAAAAGCTCTGAAAATCATACTATGTATTTTATTTACAAATAAAATTGTTTATGTATTTGATTAAACCTTTTATAAATTTAATTACACAAAATAATTAAAATTTTATAAAATTTTTTGTATTTGCAATATCCATTTTTATACCTTAAGAACGTATGTTCGAAGATTATACTAAATTTGCCTTACCGTTTGTAACGCTAAAAAATAATGCTCTGAGATATAGACTCATGTGTACGTTTTTGATCAGCGTCGAATTCTGAGTCGATTTACCTTTGTCTGTCCGTCCGTCCCAGCGATAACTCGAAAACTAATTAAGCTAAGTGCTAGAACCCAATTTAAATTGGACATTATCGTGTTACTGGTTCGGGTAGTTGCCATACAATTTCAAAATTTATTTGACTATATCTCAGAAGCTATAAAAGCTGTAATATTGATATTTTACACAAGCGAATATATTAGTAGGCAATGTGTTTCGTAAAAGTCGTTGAAATTGCTTGGCTCCTTCTGGTAGGTGCCATACAACTTCAATAGAAATTTTGCTTAAAGCAATAACGTTACACGGCAACTTAAAGTCATAGTCTGTCCCATAGTCAGTTATGGCATATTTATTCGCATATAGGACAATGTATTCGTACGGGTATCACAGAGTTGACACGGTCAACTCTATTTGTCTTTCGTTTATGTTATAATTATAAGTTTGATCATTGAATACAATTAGTGTAACAAATTAATTTTAATATTATTATGTCGTTAAATTTTATGTACTTTAATAATAATTATTATTTCACTTTAATTGAAGTTAAATTTAATAGTTAAACTACAATTCAAACAAAAACATTTTCTTAATATTATTTTCATACTTACAATTAAATTATTATTTAATAATTAATTACATAGTTAAAATTACTTCTAAAGTAAATTTCTAACTACCAATTCATTATAATTCCATATCAAACAATTAATCCAAATATCAATTAATTAATCTATGCGAGTGTTTGAAATGTTTACACTAGTATGGAATACTCTCATATTCAAAACTTAGTAATTAGTGATCATTCTTTATAATACTGCAGTAGTATAGATCTTTAGGGCAATCACTCACTTTCAAAATCATATTAAACTGTTATACTTATAAAATATAATGACAATTTATTAAAAAATGGATTATAATATAGATCTTATATTATGTTAGATCTTAGAGGATGTTTATGTCAGAGCATTTGTAATGTTTAGATATTCTAAAGTTATGTAAAGGATTTAAGGAAATAACATGCATAATTAACATAGAATAAATTGTATTCCATGTTAATTAAAAGAATAACAGAATATTCTTATATGATATTTGTCTTCCATTTATTATAACTTACAATACAATTGTTGTACGTAATTCATAACATTTTATTTGTGATTTGCATATTGTGAATTTGTCAGAAACAATAATCTTTTGTTGGAGCTCATCATTTGGACTATAAAAATCTCATCATAAATGTCAAATATTTCCTATTATATTACAATATTTATTGATTAATTTATTTATCTCTTTAATATTTCAATTTTAACTATATGTCATTTACAATATTTATGCAAAATATGAATTTTTTAAATAAAAGTAAATTAAAATTACAAATTTAATAAATTATTCGTCTGTTTAAAGTTCCAATAGGAAGACAATAAACAATTTTTTATTTTATTATTAAATCCTACATAAAAATTGTCACGTGGAAATGTCACATGTTAATTTTATTAAAATATTAATCAAAAATAAAAACTTTTATTTATGAAATTCCATGAATCCCATTTACAATTACGTTATTTATACGATACGATATGTATGTACAAATGTAAGTACAAATGCATATGTTTACATATTGTCTAATAAATTTGCATAGTTTAATAAGATTTTAAGCTTATATAGACTATTAAAATAGATATTTTAATTTTATTAAAATTTAAATAAAATTCTTTGCAACAGAAATTGCATTTAGATTTTGAAAGAGAAAATCCATGATATTTTAAATAATTATAGGTAGAGAGGGGGCCGTAGGAATATATTTAGATACCGTAACTAAAAACTCATAAATTCAGTTTATTTTAGTATTACTAACTTTAATTTAAAATTATACAAGTATTTCAGTATTAGTTACTTAATAGATCAAAAATAATGAAATTTTGGAATTGATAAGGCTTTACATATATCAGTTATTCTGAATGATATACATATTTTCCGAAGTATTCCGAAGTAACAAAATTTATAAAAACAATGCTTAGTGTTTGATATTCCGAAGTATTCCGATTGAAATATTTTTGTTAAATTTTTGAGTTATCTCATTTTTTTACGTGTGTTTTCAAAGGTTATCTAAATTTTTTTTTATATTTTCCCTATTTATGTAATAAAATAAAATATTGAAGGTGCTCAGAATTTTTTTTTTTAATTTTTGAGTTAAATTAAAAATTTTTCTGTAATACAGTTCCCATTCCATTTGGAAGACTTAAAAAATCTGACACGTTCGAAATTGCAATTGATTTTGTTTTAAATTTTTCTAGCGAATTTATCACCAATTTTTTTTCAATTTGAATTCGAAGCAATCATATAATATGTAGAATTACGGCTGGCTAGTCACCTACCTAGTAAACTCTATGACATTATGAAACTAGTGCATGATATCATGCACTAGCCCTATATTCCTCCTAGGAGTGAAGAAGGAAAAAAAAATATAATATGTAGAATTAGACGAGTTAAAAGTTTTAATGAAATTCGTTCATACTAAGTATTTCCAACACTTCTTGTTATTTTCTTACATATTTTAAACTTGCTCTCTAAGCTTGATGACCTGAAAGATATATGTATGTATTGTGCGTGCATATATATCATTGATAGTTTATAATTGCATAAAATAAAGTCATTGACCATTTTGATTTTTGTATGATGTCATACAGATGTGCTCGTAGTAATTTTTTTATTTTTCACATATAATTGCATGTTTTATTTTAAAATAAAATATAGGTATGACATAAGACCCTAAATGTTTTTTTAAATGGTTTGAAATTTTACATCGTAAATTTTATTTTGTTCTATGTCACTCTTATTGAAAGTCAAAAATATCTTGTATACTTAATATACCAAATCTATTAATAACTCCAAGACGCTCAAAATAAAAACTTGAATATGTAATTATAAGAGGGTCATTTGAGTTAAAATTAGAAAAATTTGTTCTTTAAATAGTTTCAAAATGGTAAAATTAGAAAAATATTTTTAAATGTAAAAATTCACGTAATTTATTTTTAAATAACAAATACATTAAAAATATATTTTGAGCTTTACAAAATTATGAGGTACTCAAAATCTAAAAAAAAAATGTTATTTGAAAAATTTTTCGATTTTTATTTGCAAATTGCAAAGCATTATTCAATTTAAGCAAGTTGTTAATGACCAAAACATTTTATAATTTTAAACAATCCTTAAAATTAATTCTTAAAAATTTTGGCAAACGTGAATGAATTTTTTTTCAAAATGAATCCTATTAGTCTTGAATAAAAATACTCATACAAGCGAAGTTAATATTTTCATGTAGGACTGCGTTTACTAAAATTTTCTTTCAATTTTATTTTATATTACACTTGCTTTATAGAAAATTAGTTTTATCATCCGATTGCTTATCAATTCAAGAATTTCGTCTGTGTTTTTACACACTTATTTCTTTGGCAATTTTTTAGTGTCGATAACTTTAATCACCGTATTTTCAATATCGGCTACAGAATAACTATTTTATCTCGAATACATTTTAATATAGTAATATCAAATTTTTATAACACCAAACCATGTATAATTTGTTTCTTTCAATTGCATGGAGGACGGATGTCTATCACTGTTATTCCCAGCTTTTAGTTTTGCAATTGATAACTGAGTGAACGCTGAATGTTAGATAACTGAAGCTCTAAATCCAATGAGATTATAGACACAAACCTTATATAAAATTCTTATACATATATTTTTTTCCTTTGTTTTATAACATGTCGTTTAAGAAATATTTACCCTATAATATTTTAATTGAAAACAAATGTTTGACAAATGTTATTTTTTTAAATTTTTAATGTTTATTTTGCAATATTTAAGCACTAAATTTAGTTATTTTGTAAATGTATGAGAAAAAAAAAGCCAACACCAATTTTTTTTAAAATTAATGCATTCAAATTCGCTTATTTGGAATACAATATTCTGCTACAAAAGTTCAAAATAAACGTGTCTGATGTTTTTAAAATCCAATTATAGCTAGTTATTGCAAAAATGAAAATGAAATGCAAATTTAAAATCAATTGATTTGCAACAAAATTTTGTAAAACACCATTTTTAAAATGTTGTTGTTGTATTTTAAAATTTCTATTTATTTTATTACAAGTTTTTTTATGTTTGGAGTATTGTGAATTTATAAAAATTTCTTGGAAATTTTAATCAAAATTTAAAATGTTTGTAATTAAATCATAAAACACGAAA